GGTTCGTTCTTGAGGAACTGGTGAATGGAGGCTTGGTATGGAACAAGCGAACAACGAGTCGCTTTCGCGTTCGACGTAGAATGAGGTAAACTCAAGGATGCGACGAGTCAGATCTCTGTTACATTCTAATTAGACGAAGTTCGAATTGCCTCCGTTAAGAATATTCGTCATTAACGACTGTACAATAAGATGCAAATTGATGCAACGAAATTAGGATCCGCGAGGAATAACTAAACCCGAGGGCCGAGGAGCGTACGGTCGCCGTTGTGAGGATTGACCCAGTTTACCTTGACGTCTCGTAAATCAGGAGAGAAAAGTGCCATTACCAGGAGGTATCGCTTGAATATAAAAACAATTTCTGGTTACGTTAACAGTAGTCCGGGGGTAAAACGGTTTCGCTGATCCGAGCCCGAGCATAATTATCATCGTGTTCCCTCCGTCGCGTGTGTAACGGTTAGCAAAGAGGATAAACGCTAATTAACGGGACGTCGCCGAGTTATTTTCGACTCGGAAAGCCTTTCCACGCCGATCGAGCGTGGCCTCTACTCGCTCGTCTTACATCTAATGAATTTTTCATCGGGATGAAATGCAAAGTGGCTCGTAAAGTATACAACACGTTCGTTATACACCCGTTCGTGTAAGTATCAAAGGGCCCCCCTTTCAGACGTCCTCCCCACGCGGCTGCCCGTGCTGCACGGTCCTTAGCCCACAAAGGGGATCGTTCATCGCTTCCAGAACTCACGGAAAGAACGTCTCCCTTCGATCGAACGGTGAGGTGGACGTTTCCATTCGCGGGAAATCGAACGGTGACGCCTGGCCACTGTCGATTCCGATCGAATTCGCTCGGAATGAAGTTCTCGGATTCAGACAGAAAAGATGACTGTCTTTTTTATAACTATACTTTCCTTCCAGTACCTATTCATACGCGACAGATATTGTTAATAGTAGATATTACTTTATTCTTGATACACAGATGTGAATAAGAATGGAAATAATTATTCAAACTAAATGTACACATGGACACCGGTCTGCTTGTAAGCTGCTAATTAATGAATATTCAATACCTGATCGCAGCATCCTTGCTGTTTGTCCAGTTTTCTACTTCAATTTGTTAATATCAATCTTTTAACGTGTACAATCCGTGAAACAGAGTCCACCAAATAAACATTCTATGGTTTAATAAACGAAGCCACCGACGATCGGTTACATAAGCAGCGACCTAGTCCTCGGACTTCCTCGATTCGCCCAGGACCACGATACTCTTTCTCGGCTCGTTACGTTCGTCACAGATGTCTCCTCCCGAATCACAATATTCTAACCGCCCCGCGCGCTGCCCGGTTCGTTACGTGTTGGTTAACCGATACAATATCCTAACTCAGACCGGCATTGTGCTCGGGAAAAAAGGCGACGAAGCCGAGGATGAAAAGAAGAAAAAGACCAGAACAGAGGGGAAAAAATGGGCGAGAAGAGAAACCAAGCCTTAAATGTTCCCAGCTTCTTTGATCCGTGCCCGTAATTAATTTAAGTGACTCGCCGCTGCTTTTTCGCGCGATTTCTTCTCCCCGATCCGCGGCAAAAATCCATGGCCGGAGCGTAACGCGGCCGACGACGAGATCTTCACGCTTCGGGACTCCGTTTCTTGCGCGAATGTCAAGGTTCCCGACGCGATAAGGCACGATTTTCGGATGTTGCGAGGGTTCAAGCGGATGATTCTTGCCGCTCCGCGCGTAGCATCCTTACGCGTGACCGGCAGGAATCATTTAAGCAGCGAAGAAGTAGTCAAGCACGCGAATTTTTCCTCGATATATATGAAAAAAATGTAACTACCGGTAACGCCAATTCTCTGGATGTTTCTTAAGCCTAAAACGAATTACGCAGTTCCCTATAAAACTAACAACGATACCATTAACGTGACTTCTTTCGATGGTCGCCTATACGGGTTAACGTGTTAAGACGTTAAAGTCCACAGTAAATTCAAGTCTACCACGATCTCTAACTCGTTAACGCGAGAACCGAAGAAAAAAAGTCGTAAAGAAACTGTCTGAATCGATAAATAAAACAGGAACACCTAATGGATCGAATTTAACTATTGAAAACCGAGAAGTGGCTTCCTTCGTGAACTTCAGATAGAACCTATCGAGTTTCTTGCGTGTTAGTGGACAGCCCCAGAACTTTCTTTCAAAAAGACGACGAAAAGCTTCCTCGAGGACAACTCGGTACAACGAAGCTTTCCTCCTCGATAACCGGACACTTTGAAAACTGGTCTCCGCGCAGCATTATTTCCTTTTTTTTTTGCGCAATTATCCGTCACGCTCGAGGAACACGCTTTTAACGACTGGCCGGCGGCGCGATCTGGAACCGGGACCATCAATCTCCCCCGCGTTATAAATATTCGATGCGAATCGAGTTTACAAAATAACGTCGACAACAATGTCCTAGGCTAGACTTGCTGTCTGGTGGTCTCCTCCGCGGATATTCGTACCTTTTTACCGGCGTCCCTGATCAGCAAGAAGCAAATGGGACTTGATCGTTCCCCGATTAGTTCCGTTTGGTAGCTCGTAGTCTTTTTCGAAGCTAAGTATACGGGTTTTCGTGACTGGACGATCATCGCGACCGGTGGTCCCTGTTTTGAAGAAACTAGGATGGACACTTTTTTGATATTGTCCTTGCAATTAATACCTCGCTTCTTAGGTTTTTCTTATATGTTCAACAGTAACCCTTCCGCTGTTAAAGGCAATTACATCCAGCCAGTGTTAAACACTTGTTGCATATAAAGATGTCCGGAGACACTTAGTAAAACGTTGTTCCGCTAATAAACGCTCACAAATAAAATATAATTAACTCCTTGCCTTGAATAAATAAGTTTTATAACGTGTACTAAACGCTAAATACAATTATTCGTGAAACAGGGTATACCTAATGGTAACGTATGCTCCAATTCTATGCATTGAAACCGATACCCACATCATAAATTACGTTTCATCGGTCAGAAAAATTATACTTTCCAAAAGAGTTGTTAATACAATTCGGAGTTCCCAACACGATTTCTTACTCGATTAATCAACTCCGAACCTTGTCAGTTGTCCGAGCGCGAACACGCTTTCGTACGTGGAACACTTAAAAAAAACGGTGATCTACGTGACAAACCGATAACTTTCAAAAGCTGCGCTGCAAGTATACGCATTTTTCCGAGCGACCAGCGGTATAGCACAGCTAAAGCGAAACGATCGGGTCGGGGGTAGCGCCGGAATCAAGATACAAGCTTTTTGCCCTCCTTTTTTCTCTGTTGCCGACGTTACGGAGAAACGCGAACGAAGGTTTGACGGAATGGCTGACAGCAAGTGGACCGTGGCCCACGGGGTCAGGCAACGATAACGCGGCCGATTTTTGCCGGGTGCCCCGTGTCGGCAGGGAGAGAGAGAAACGAAGTCGAGCCTGGAAAATGTCAAGGCCCCCCCTTTCCATTCGTTGCGGGATGATTTTTCTCGCGCGCCGAACAAACGTCGCCGACGCAGGGAAAGAAACGTGCGACAAATGTCGCGGCGATTGTCCGCTAATGCGTCGATCGTAAATCTTTCGATTTCCCGCGGCGGCGCCCGTCGCGTCGACGGCCTGGCAGCGGCGCTCGGCTCGCAATAGTTTATCTAATTATGCGAATGAGAAACGTCCGGCCGCGCGCATTGGCGAGCCCCGGTGCCACTGTTTTCGCGCAGGCCGAAACGGGCGAAAAAACCTGCCGGCTACGACTTGTCTCAACAAAGATCCATCGATTCACGTCCGGTGTTATATGTCAACGGTTCGAATGCCAATTACGCGAACGAGCGGCACAACGACGAAGGGGTGGGGGAGGGGTGCGGCGGCAAGCTGACCCGATAAACCGACGACAGTGCGCTGCTGTCTCATTATTCCAACGGAACCGATTTCATGGGCCCGGTATGGAGATTTTCTGAACACGTATGCCAGTTGCTAACCGAATACTTTACGGTGGCGGGCATTTAAAATAAGTAGTTTTTAATCAGTCGTACAGCGACCGGGGATTACGGTGGACGGCGTCGAGATTTGTGAAATCGGCGTCGATGAGGAATCGTCGATAGGGATCTCTCTGTCGAGTCCGATTTGTTATCTTCGGGGCCGAACGGTGAACTTGAAACTGGTGCCATTAAATTGTCAACGTTTTCGAGCCGGAGATATAGTGTTCAGGACAATTAACCCGTTGCTTTATTATGTCGAGTTAGAGACGTGGGAGCACGCTCCGGATCGGGTTTAATGAATACGGATATTATTGATCCTGTTCGATACGCAAAGAAATGCTACTGGAAGAAGTGGGCTTTTTTATTTGAGAATTATTAACGGCGAAGCGGCACTGGCGAGCACGGTTGCGAAAGAAATCGCGAGGCGAGGGGTCAAATCGATATTTCAAGCCTAGACGCGTCTGCAATCATTCATTTTGAAAGATTTTATGCTCGACGAATGGCGGCTCTTTTGTGCGCGATTTTTGTAACGGTTACCCGTCTACTAAATGGACGTTGCTTTCTCGTGATTCTAACGTTACACGGGATGCTCCGAATAGTCGGAGTATTTCGAAACGAACGAATGTGGAACAATTGAATAATCATCGGTACGCTCAACATACTTCAACCGTGTATCAACACTTTCAGAGTTACAGATTTTCAGAGAATACTAATTAAAAATAACAGAAAGATCAGCCAGAATGTTACGACAAACATTTTCGCAAGTGACAACGATGAAGCCAGAAAAGGTTAAGTTACCCGAAAGATTTCATCTTTGAATCGCTAACACTAACGTTCCATTAAAAGAAAATATATCTTCCAATTAATCTACAGGAGTGACAAAACAAGAATGGTACAAAAAAAAAGAGAAACAATCCCACGAGCAACGGATCTTGTAAACGCGCGTCACTCGTGGGATCGTGGTCTCAAGGTCGCCCCGGGTGTCAAGAGTACCATCGTCGGGATTTAAAACAATGGCTGCCAAAGTACCTGAAGAAGTCCTCCCTGCAGAAGAGTTTCGCCTCCCTGGAGAAACACTTGTCCTGCAACGCGGCTCTGCAATCGAAGCAGCGGACGCACTCGATGTGCCATGCTCGGTCCAAAACATTCAGCAGGTACTGATCCATAATTGGTTTGTCGCATCCTGCACATGACAGGAGCATCGCCAAACCGCGTCTCCCTGCTGCGAAAAGAAAGAGAGCATTCGTTGAATAATCGTGTCGGGGCCGCTGCTGGTCGCTCGTTACCGGTTGCGAATCAGTAAAATTCTCGTTTCACCCCTCCCCCGCCTAACTCCTCTTGTGTTCCGGCGGTACTGGCACCCGTGACTTGACGAGCCGTTTTAATTCCCGTGCAGGTTGAAACGCGCCACCGCGGAAAACGAAACGAGAAAATCGTGGAAATTCAGGGCGAACGCGTTCCCGATCGTACCCGCGTGTGTTTGCGCTTCGCGTTTTCGAATTGCGTGGCAGGCGAGTTTTACTGGTTCGGGTTACCGTGCTTTAGAGGTTCCACCGGTTTAATTGACAACCCTTCGCGGTCCTGTGTCGGGGCGGACTCGAAAATATTTTACTGATTTATGTCATATTTATTTACAGTATTGCGACTACGTTGTCTGTGGATAGTTATCGCCGTGGTATTTTTCCGGGTACCGTAATTAAATTATTAGAGGGAAATGGAGAAGGTTGGAGTATAAGTGAGTTAGATGACGTTGATGCGAGTTTAACAATGGACGCGTTAAGCGCGCGAATAAACGTGTACGTTAATTCGCTGAAGAAAACGCATCTTTATAACGTTAGTCATTACGAAATAAACAATTCGAGGTAGGTAATTTTATCTACTCCAATTATCCCAGTGTTCAAGTGTTATTTATTTCGGGTAATGTTCTTTCTTCTTGTTTGTTTGCATTCAGTACTGATAGGTGATTGAGTGAGCAACTCGTATGTAACAATTGAAAAGAATAATAGCGGTACGATTGGACGCCGGTGTCGGGCGCAAACCGAACACGTGCTCCCGATCGAATTTTAAACAATCCCTATTACCGATCAGATTCCAATTTGAAGGAAAACCTCGGCAGCGGTCGCCGCGGCCGAGCACGTGCATAACGAACAGCGCATTGTCCATCGACTTTTTGTAATTCGAACGGTTTGATTACCGTGCAGCATGCCGGACGGAGCGCCGAGGCGCGAGCCCGAGAGAGCGACACGACGCGACCGTTCCTCCATTGTTGACGGTGAACCAGCCGTGTCTACGCGCGCTGCGGAAAAACAATCGAGTTTTCACGAACGATTAGGAACAAACGGGGCATCGATACGTAGAATGCTAATGTTACTTAAGACCGAACAAAAACTAAGGGGGAGGAATAGCTGAAATTGACAACCCTTGTCTTACCATTTCTGCCCAAAATACAATCGCCGAACATGCCGGGCTGTTGATTTTGATTGAAAAGAAAAGTTCTTTGTACAGGAGTAACGCTACTTCGTTTCAAGTTGGAAGTATTCGGTAATATTCAAACTTGCTAAAATTCAGTTTAAAATCTTCAGCAAGACTGACTGGATAGTATTGAAGAAAAGGATTAACGATGGAGTCGTTATGCTGAAAACGTAGATTCAGTCAATACACCGGTCTTTGTCGGAAACGTCCAAAATAATTTTTAGCTTTTAAGCATTTTTCTTCGAATTCTGATAAAACGTTTGGTTTATAATTTATATTAATATTTCTACGAATAATCACGACATTATCTGTAATAAAAGATAGTATCGATTTCACGGAAAATTGACTCATCCCTCGTTAAGGTGTCAAACATCATGTAACACAGGTTTTTTCTCGAGTGACTTTAATATCGTCGTCAACCAAATGTTTACAATACATCCTTAAAAAGTGATTTCAACCAATTTTATATACGGAATCACATTAACAAACAAGATATTTCTCTTTTTCGTTAACTCTCGAGACCGAATAAAGCTCAAACAGAAACGTTCTCATATAGAATAATCCGTACAAAACACACGTATGCAAAATACAACTTTTACACGCGAGGATTTAGGATATAATACACTGCGAATTAACTAAATTAAGTAACGTAATAGAACCGAATAAACTGTATAATGTATTCACTCGGTGCTTCAATAACGTTTGCGCGTAGAACACGGGACTCGGATAAATTAATACAACATTTCAGTAGACTCAATTATAAAACACGCACCGCTGATGGCTGCATAAATAATTACAACGGCTACTCGTAGAAACAGCTTAACGAATTTAGTAATCATATTCGGATCTTCGCGCGTAGATCCATTAACTGTCAACAATCATTGACCCCGTTAATGTGTTTCAGTACCGGGAGTCACGTCGATAATTACAAAACGTTGTCAACGTTCAGATTGTCCTTTGCTACGTTCCCTTCCCTGCTACGTCGCCCCCTCTCTTTCCTCCCTTTCCGTTTCCGTGTCGTGGCTCTCCCTCGCTCACGATCTCCGACTTCTTTTTTCGCCATTGCTGAACCCTCTAGGGTTCACTCCTCTCTTTTTTTCGCGGTTCCCACCAATGGGCGGAGAGTTCCTCCCTGCCGGCAGGGTTGTCAACCTAGCAACCCTTCTCCCACCCTTAAGGTCTGACCTTGCGCATCTCATCTCCCCTCGGTTTCGCCGGGAGGGCGAGAAGAAAAAGGAGGAACGCGAGAGTCGGCGGCTCGACCCGAACCACCCCGCAGTTACCTCAAGATTTAAATCGTTCCACGCGAAATCGACTTACGGGTAATTCCTCCGGCGAAATTGGCTTCCCAAGAAAATTCTGTGTTTCACGAAAAAGGAAATCTACCCGGTGTCCGCGGCGGAATTTACCGACCGACCCGACCGGCGTTCGCTGATCATACCCAGCGGGGAAATAAATCAAATAACCAGAGTGAACTTTTCCGCTGCGCGAAATGTCGTTTTCGAAATATAGGTTCTAGAAACTCGAATACGCGCCGACGTAATTCATGATTGATGAAGTAACTGAACGTTAAACGATCTGGATTTGGGTTTTAATATTATTCTCCGTTGAAAGTGGAGTCTGTTGCTTTGTACTGTTTTATTTTAAGCTGTACACCGATCCCGACCGGTTTTATGAATCCTGCAAGTTTCTTGATGATTCGGAGTGGAGTTTTAGAAGCTTAAAATGCGACATCAATTTTCTAACGGATGATTTCCTAACTCGTGTCTCTTGTTAACCAAAGAAAGACTTCGTAGGTTTTTTATTTTTTATTAAATCTTTTTAAGAACGGTATCTTGTATGAAAAATATTCTCCATTCCTTAATCAACTCTTTTTTAGTTACTCTGTATCTATTAACTCCAAACGTCGTACAACGTCTTAAGTATCTAAATTTACATCTTGTTTACACGCTAAAATTATGATAAACATTTCCAAAACACGCGCACCTGTTCCTTAGTTCTGCGGTAATTGATTGTTCGGGAAGTGCACACGAAATTTCTCAGGGGCCAGACCGAATCACCATGAAATTCGAAATTTTCACATAAATTCGACCATGTGAAAGATCCAAGCGGATAACGCTATCAGAAGTGCATCCTTTAATCCCGTTGACCTTCCATTCCCGAAATCAGATATCGTGAGCCGGTTTCACGAGCGGAACGCGAAAAAAATGGGAAGAACAGAGGGAAAGCTCTGCTCGAATCCTCCGAAACCAGATTAGGATTAAGTCTACGTGAGACGAATGCCTGGATCGTCCGGTGAAAACGGTTCCGATTAATCCAATTCCTTGGCGTGAAGCACCAGGGCGCGTGCCACCTTTTACCGAAACCGCTTTATCCAATCAATAACGACTCGAAATCGGCTCAAAGAATATTTGAATAGAATTCTATTTGAAATCATGCGCAGAAATTTTATTGCGGTCGTTGGAATTTATTCCCTCTCGTGTTGAACGTCTCGAAATAGCCGCTCCGAAAATATTTCTCTAATTATTACCCACGAAAGAATGAAATTAGAGAATGACATTTTATTAATCGGTGTTAACCGAAAACATTCACACTGTTACGAGTATTCATTCGTGCAATTATTTGCATTTATGAATCAGTGTGAGAATGTAACATTCGAAAGAAGAAGAAAATACTAAACGAGTCTCGTAAAAAAGTAATTAATTCTGGACAGACTAATGGGGTGTATTATTTCATGTCTCACTTCTTTCATATAGAATATTTAAAAAACATGATGGTCACTTATGATGAAATGACAACTACGCAGATGATTTGGACAATTAAATCTGCCTGTGAGTGACGATATTCTACCATTAACATACTTGCTGCCTTGTTTGACCTAATTTGAACAAATGTGCGAGCCCGATTGTTCGCAGTGGAACATTCGTAATGCACTGTAAGTGAAACTATTAAAACGATACATCATTTCCAGCAAATGCTCCAAACAGGAGTTTCCGGGCGATGATGATAGCAAGCGTGTTAACAGGACAACATCGGTAAATTAGAAATCGATAGCACATCCGCAAAGTCGGACACGATGTCTCCAGTGTCAATATTTTTCTTCGAACCAACCCCTGGGATACATAAACGCTCTAAAACCCTTTCACGACTCAAGTATCCGCGCTGTCCACTGCTCTCGGAAGGAGAACAAAGAATTCGCAAGATAACGGTACGCCAAAGGCGCTGCACGGTTCTAGGCGATTTAAAAGTTCTCGCGGACGATCGTGCATTGTAACTAGACCGCGAGAAATTCAAATACAAAATATAAGTCCGCGATCGATCCGCTGATAATCCTCGGTCGGTAACAATCATGGGAACGGAGACACTGAACCGAAAAAATGATTATGTCCCATTAATACGGTGACTGCATCACGAGTCTGGCTACCGTCGCTAGCAGCGCAGTCCTGTCCCTCTTATAAAACCGGTGAATCTTTAATCGCCGATACATGTAAGTATTGGTTTTAATATTTTTCAGAAATTACGTATTCAACTTGGTAACGAATATCGTTACGATAGGGGGCGTGTCAAATCGTTGAATTGACGCTAATAAGTGTTATGAATTAAACATCGATTCTTGAACGACAAGTTCCTCTCCGATCAGTGCAACTCGCTCGAGGATAATCGGCCACGGACGTAATTTTACTCGCACGTCGCAAGACGACGGTTTCCTCGAATCGCTGGTTCGTTACGTACAATGACGCGTGTTCAATCCTGTCCGAAGCGAATTCATCCTCGTTAAATCGCTGCCCACAAAATGATCCACGGGACGATTCATCACCGTGGGAGAGAGGGAAAAATGACGAATTTTTATGACATCCAAATTATGGCGCGATCAATCACGATAAAGGAAGCGAAGGATGTTCTTGCTTTCGAGGAAGACTATTCGAGGAACCACCCTTTCGAACACGAGACGTCGAAGACTTCCTTCGGAAAGGAATTCTTCGGTCTGCTAGATGATTCGTTGTAGCTTGGACTACTGTAACTAGACCAAAGTGCAATCTTTTCGCAACTGTAGCATTCATCGTTCCGCTTGACAGCCATAATCGTCATTTTTAAAAGTTTAGAACTATAAAAGATATCGGTGAAGTCGGACTGCAAGAAGATGAACGCTTCAGTGACAGAGGTCGCGCATTACAGTTCTCCAATAAACCAAGTAAAATCGCAGTTCAACAGAGATTCACCGTATCAAAGAATCTACCGTTGAAAATCATATACACCATCATATTTTCGCAGTACCAAAATATACCTGATGTTCTATACACTAAACCTATTAATCCCTTGAAGTCGCAACAACAGTCCTTTACTTCCACCAATCTCTCAATTCTTTCGCTAATTAAGGTATCAGAAAACATAGTAAACACCACATTATTATAATTACAATCATTACAGTGCGATAAGTAACCATTTTCTCTGTGGGTATTTCAAAAAAGTCGAATTTTCGGAATGGGTTGAACGGCTAAGCGCGTATAAAGTAGAGTAACCGGTTAATTAAACATTATTTTAGAAAGCAATGAAATCGACTTACCTATGTTACAAGCCTGGGTGACGGGCAGGGGTGCGCAGCAAGGCCCGCCGAGGGTCGCGACCCTTATCCGGGGGGTACCAACCCCCCCGGGGCCCCCTCCCCCGCCACCGGCGCCCCCGTAGCCCTCCACCTCCCCAGCCGCGACTGCGGCCACCCCTGCCCCCACTCCCTCGCCGGGCCCGGGACCACCACCAGGCCCACCTTCCACGGGCCCGTATCGGCCGAACGGTCCCGAGGGCCCCAGTGCACCCACTTTTACTGCGGTGTTATCCCTACGGCCGTTAAATCGCACTTCTCACACTTCCCCCCGTTCGTTGCCAGTTTTCGTTTTTCTCTCCCCCTACGCGCACTCGATATTTCGATCAAATCCGTTTCCCTTGTCTTCTGTCTTTAAGTAATACCATCGACCTATTTCTCTGTTTCGTTCTTATTCCGTGGATACGTATCTCTCCCTCTATGCACGATCCTATGTTCACTGTATATAGTTATTCTTCCCCTATGAATCTTCGGTTCGATCTAGCGACTTTTTCTGGTGCCTTCTTTTCCCTTTCCGTGGTTCCCCGTTCGTCCCTCTTTGAACCGTACTCGTCGAAGGCTCACTGATTATATGATTCAACTTATACCGTCCGCGAGTCCGCTTCGACACTAGTTCTTCAACCCCTCGTGTCTCTCAGCTGACAGATCAGTACCGTCGGCGCATCGCGGTGACCCGCGTATGACGACGCTCAAGATCGTTCCCTCTTGGTTTTAGACACTCCGCGGTCGGACATGACGCCGCCGATGGGACCGGTATATCGTAACGGATCTGTCAGACGCGACGTGCGCGTCCGCGCGACGGACCGCATCAAACGAGTCCCGCGATCTGTCCGATAGTTTCGAAGTCTGGAATCCTTTCAATTCCGTAAATATGAGTGCTGTCTCGGCCAGATGAACGACGCTCTCCGAACGACCACTTTGGTTTTTCCTTAACGAAGTGCAAGCGGCGTGTGTCAATCACGATGAGCAGCCCGATCTGCGGATAGATATCGATGAAACCGGGCGAACAGTGTGGGTCCGATAAGCGGCATACGGACGAGGAACGCGGCGATTCTCGAGCACGCTCGCCTCGAGTTCGCCAGCCAACTGGCTGCACCTGTGACAGCCGCGAGGGCCCCCCTCTACTTCGACGAGACGTCGCGCGCCTCGCCGAAACCGGGTACGCCCATTGGCCACGGCCACGGCGCGGGACCTTTCGCGCTTCCCACCGATTGGCTGGCTAGGCCCCGCTCGGGCGTAGCCAACCCCGTGCGCCGTCAGACATGGCCGTGGAATGGCTGCGGATCTATCTCGCGGCGCACAGGACGCTTCTGTCGTTGCTACTGCTTCTCTGCTGCTTCTGCCGACTTGTGTTGTTGCTCGAAATAGCCTGCCGCCTGATTCTCCTCGTCTCTGACGCGGCTATCGATCCCTCTTCGGCGTATACCGAACAGAAGACCGCCGAGCGAAATGCCACAGGTTTCAAGAGAATCTTTGCCTCTCGCGCCCGCGAAATATTCCTCCCTTCCTCCTCCTACTCCTCCTCCCCGTTCCTCCTCCTCCCTTCCAACGCCATCCCACTGCGTTCCCCCCTTTTGCCCCTCCGCGGTTGCTTCTTTCGCTGTCCTTATTGCTCTTGTTGCCATCTCTTGCCTCTCTCTTTTCTCTTTCAACCTCGATACTCTCTGATATTTCCTTTTCGTTCCCACTTTTTAACCCTCTCTTTTCTACCCCGCGAATGTTCCTTCGATTCTCCTTCTCTCTCACGCCCGTTATTCGCGCCGATAGCACGTACACTCGCGTCCACGCGTGTGTCCGTGCGTGTACGTACGCGCCCTCTGTTCCCGACTCACGAGACATAACCTTATCGCCAGGCTCGTTTTGTGACGGAGGCGTGTACCGAGGCGACGCGTTGCTTTCTATCGATTAAGGACCTCTTCGCGCTATTGTTCGACGATTTTAAGGGCCGATGTTGCGGACTCTTTCACCACGCGAGCTGCTGGCGGCAGTATTCGCGAAGAACCGTGAGCCGATAGACGATTAACTTTGTCTAACCGAGACCAACCGGAATTCGCGCGTGGCTACCTTTCGTATTGTTCGGTGAACAATTAGATTTACTTGTTACAATGCCTAGGAACTGTACGATGCAATGGGATTGCGCGACCGTCCACTTCCTTTATGTATCCCTTGTTTGACGTGCTTCTGTTGACACACGTTTATCTCGATTTTTTGGCAGAATTTCCCGGGTCCGATACGCTAAAATACACAGCGAACAAAAATGTTTAATGGTTGTCTCCGTGCCGTCATAATTAACCGTAAACAAGTGGCTTCTATAAATTACATTACCATGGACTGGTTAAGCTTATTACAAGGGTCGACCATAGACTACTGAAAAGCTGTCGACATTATTATAGGGTCCCGTGAAAAATCGACCGCCACTTAGATGTGTCAATTTGTAACGGGGCGCCCGTAAGTATAGCCCTTTACCATCCTCCTTTTGTATATGATGACTCTACCCTTTTGATAGGGAGCTCGTATTCGTTTTCCTTTAATGAAAAGTGAGACCTGAAGGAAAGAACGTTAAAATGTGTTATTACGAAGTGCTAGTTGTGATGATATTACTTGTGTAGTTTCAATTAATCAAGAATTCTTCAAATTGGTTTCTCTACCAAAATGATACCTTACTGCGCTACTAATGGACTGTTTCAGTGATATTACTGGAACATACCTGGAAAAAGAGATACATTCAAAATTCAAAATTTTTCATTTAACATGCATTTGAACTACGAGACACCGATCAAAAAATCCAAACAATTGAGTGAGTATCTATTACAATGGTACGTCAACAGAATAGTTGTCCACTCTATACAGACTAGCCAAGTGTCATGAACCTCGGGAGGTGGGAGTAAGATTGGCATCTGTTCCGAGCGCGTTGTATTTACAAAATTACTCGTTCGAAACGAACGGCTTCATCGTGAGAACGAGCCGCGCGGTTCGCAACGAACCACTTTACGATATTCAGGATAAGAACTGTTATTAACACGCTTCTCGTGAGTTTATTGTCAGATCCCGGTCATTCCCGCGTCGCGCTACCGTATTTCGTGTGCCGCGATCCGTACAGTTACCAGCAGTCGATCGTGCACGACGTTATCGGTATCGAAATGCACTTCGAGTTCATCCCGTTATTATTGTATCATAAATCTCCCCGTAAACGGAGATACACGGAATTTTGTAATCAAGGGGATCCTCGAGGCTCGAATTCTTTGCACGTTTTATTCGCGTCCCGGCAGGCAGTAAATCCTGTTACGCCAACTGTTAAGGGCCAATAAAACGCGGTAATACGCAATAACTGTACGGGAATTAATTAACGCAAAATTCATACCTATTCGCAAATCAGATTCTACTTAACCCCTAAATATTTCGTCTATAACACGCTCGAATGGGTCGAACGAGCGGAGTATACTTGACTTTACGAGGAAAAGAAATTTATACGATACCTGTACATGCATGACACAAAAAATAAAGAAAGTAAATAAAAAATATACGGTAATGCAAGGAAATGAATTCGTTTGGCGCCGGCACGAATGTATTGCCAGCGATCGAAATAATATTGAATCGATACTATCGACTCAAGTCTCAGAATGATCATTTTGTATCGATCGGCATCGAACATATGTAATCGATATCGATTTAATGGGTATTAATGTTCCATCAATTCGTTTGGAAATTTAAGGTATATATATGTACATATATATATATACAAGTCAAATAAAAAAAAATGAAAAAGTTTCGAATGGTAAATAAATTATAATTTTTTTTTTGTCGATAATTAACTTTTACATTTCTTTACATTGATTACAGTGTTAGTGATTTTCTTTTGATATATACAAACAGATATCACTAATCGAATGGTTTGAATACTATCGATACGCTTGTATCCATCCAAACACTACTTGTTGATAGTTGAAATTATTGTGTACAACACGCAATTCTATAATGTCATCGGATGCGTTAGTCGGTCAACAAAAACTGCGAGGTTAGTTCCGCGAAGAGAGAAATACGATCAGTTTTTCTTCTTGACTGACGCGGCGATTGTACTTGCTAGAAAAAAACTATATGTCACAGGTATGACAGGCTATTCGTTCCTACGCAACGCGGAGCTATTGTTCCGCGGCTAGCTAGTCCGGCCCGACAAGACGATAAATGGGAAAATGAACGAGGCCTGCGAGTTACGATCTTCCGTGCACGGTAATTATTCTTGGTTTTCCAACGAATCCGTTCGGCTTATTTTACCTACGAGATCTAACGAGAAGATCATCAACCTGAATTTCTAATATGCTTTTCGAAATTGTTATTTATAATTCTACATATAATTGTACCAATTTTTAGTTTTCATTCTATTCTTGATTTTTAAACAAGTTCCTTGCGAACTGATGAAAAAAAGTACAAATGCATATTAATCGTTAAATATAAACAATTAATCGCTTCAAAAATTGATATCTTCACTGTGTCTGATCATATACAGAATAATGCTACTGTCTGTGCTCTATTCACGGAGTCGACAAAATTTGTACCTGTCAAGAACACAAATCGTATTTATCCAGTATTTGTTTCATTTTTGTAACGACCGCAATTAATCTGTACATAATATGTGTAATTTATTGGTCAATTATGTATTATTGAGGAGTTGGTACTTACTTAGCTCACTATTCACGAGTGGTGCCTCTTCCAAGCTTTTTCCATGATTTACAGGTTTTTATTATTGTTATGCATACATGCATTTACAATATAGTTTCAATAACAATATTGCAGAGAAAATAATAGAAGCGTACTACAAAAATTAAGAATGGTAATATGTCGGATAAGATTTCTCCTTATTCATAATATAAAACAGTGCAATTTTAAAAAATTACTTTCATTATTGACGCATTATAATATTATGCCGTAAAATTAATTATTTATGGCATTATATTTATTAATTAATAAAACAATAAAGGATAGATACTGAATTTCATTTATAGTTTTTTTTTCGTGTGAGTAGAAAAGGTCGGGTATTAGTCAGACGGATAAGGATATTATATGAAACTATAAAACAACGGGAATAACAATACAACAGATTTTTTATTTGCAGGGCTGGCTGCCCTGTAATATGGAAATAAAAATATTTAATGTATAAAATATAGTAAAATATATATAATTTCCGTGTATTGTACTATTGTCTTTTTTTAACAATATCATAAGCCATAATACTTTCTTTTTACTTGGAAATTTATTAACTCTAAGATTTATCGCCTAAAATTTATACCTATATTTTGTATCAATGGTTATTTAGGGTGATAGCCTACCCACTTTCTATAAGTTACATTCATTGCTTCATCCACTATATGGTCTATGGGCTGTATTATGAGAGGTATAGAAGCTAACCCAATTGCAGTTGATATCCACCGACTTCTTAAAATTGGATTACAAGTATTTCTTTGCAAACATTGGACAGCAAAACAAATTCTGTTAATTGTGAAACCAGGAATAACAACGGATGCAAATGTCTGCCACAGTAAAGTGTCAGTCATGGAATATAAAGCATTTTTAGTTGCTTCAGCAGATGCATTTCCCTAAAACATAATTTTTTTACATTCACGTGATGTAATGTTTTAAGATATTCTTTTTCTCATTTAACTTACATGATATTGTTTCCACCCTTTGTGGATTGTATCTGCAAGGACGTACCCAGTGGCCACAGCATAACTGCACCACACAACTGATGAGGGTACTATGGGTCTAAAAGCCTCACCCACTTCATTTGCATATCCTATAGAAATAATTAAAATTTATAAGAAGAGTCTTACATAAAATATGAATCTGAAAATAAGAAAATTATGGATGTTAAAAATGCTGACAATGATAGTGACTATTATGAAATTCAAACTATCAATGAAAATTTAAATAACATTGTGTGATAACCTGTCCAGTATTACCCAAATATCTTACAGGTGTATCACGAAACACGTCCACGTCCTCTTTTCCCTCGCCCATAATGAAATCTTCAAATTTTATACTACCCGTATATTGAATGACATAACCCAAAGTAGCGTGTAAGGATTGTTCGATATTGATATACCACTTATGTCACATTGGCGTAGAGTCAATTAATGTCAAGTACAAATTAGATAAGTTGTATTTCTAACGATGAACTTGAAATTTTATATTGTTTTCAAATATAGAAACTATCTCAATCTAAATTTGTATATAAAATACAAAAAGAACATCGTTTTGTCAACAAAATTAAAATAAACGTCACATTTTGGATATAGGGGATTTTAAATCCTGGACATCCTGTAATACTGCGCGGGAAAAGTTTTAGATCATAAAATCATAAATTTTTGTACATTAATTGAAACTTGTATATAAATATCTAGTTGCCCAGTACAAATTGAGATGAAAGGGGGACAACAAATTAGTCCCACTAATTCATCATCATGAATTAACCAACTTTCATTAAGAATATTGCATAATGCGAACTATTTCAATTCGTAAAAAAATTTCAATTTGTAGGCAAGAAATAATTAAAAATATTCAATAATAATTGGAAATTGCACATTGTATTCAAAATGTGCTGCTTTTACACTTTAAATGATCACGATTAAATATAAATACGTTTAGAAAAAATTACGCAAAATCTGTACAAAAAGAAACAAATTGAAAAGAATGAAAAAATAAAATATCAGAAAGATCGCAAATAAGTATGAACGAGCATTATAATAATAGTTTGTATCGACTTACACAAGTATGGCGTCCAATCCTATTATCTGGTTTCTGTACGACATAACCTCACGATGTTCCGCTAAAGAAAGAATTCTTATCCCGAGCTTCCAAAGGGTAGCAAGCTCTTCCAGAAATATGACAGGACCGTGACACTTGTAAGTGAAAGTAGTTCGTACGTCGTCATTAAAAATGTTAGATTTCGATTTGATTAAGGAATACTTTAGTCTGCAAATTAATGAAGCAATTTGTTGGTGGTGGTATTATATAAAAGAAATATCATGGCAATTGCTAATTGCTATTGTTGCCTATTTTTGCGTTTGCACTTGCCTTTATTCAATCTTGAAGAAAGTCAGCCACACAGCGTGGCAGCTTCCAGGTCCACCCGCTAGAATATTGTTAGTTACGGCTCATCCTGATGATGAAGTCATGTTCTATGGTCCGTTGGTGTACTGGGTCACAAAGTCAAAGGCTAGTGAGCTGTATCTTCTTTGTCTTACCACTGGTATGAAGTTTTACTTGTTAATAATAACACATATAAATATAATATCTATTTATCTATTCTGTTGATATTAGGTATTGTGGTCTTTTAATAAAATGCAATTTGTAATTACATTAGTCTATTCATCACTAAAACAACATTACTAGTAACGAAATAAATTAGCTTCCTTTTGTAAAATATTCTTTTAGGTGGACATAAAAGGAGGAAAGAGGAACTATGGGATTGTACAAAAATATTAGGAATTCCTGAAGCTAATGTAACTATAGTAATGTAAGGGAACAATTTCACTTAATTATTCCGCAATATAACTTGTTATTACTTATTTGTATGTAGTCACAATCTATCCTTCTAATCTTCTATCATAGTTCAATAAATGCATGTATAGGAGTACAGAGTTACCTGATGATCAAAATGTACAATGGCCAACAGAAGTAGTGGCGGAATATATTTTACAACATGTAGAGACTTATAAAATCAATGCTGTTGTAACATTTGACAAGCATGGCATAAGTCGACATAAAAATCATATCTCCCTATACTTTGCCATAGCTGCATTATGTATTGAAAAAAAAGTACCATCTTGTTAGTATCATTTTTTAGAATACTAAACTAATACTACATTAATACTAAGAAACATAACTTTTTTTCAGATTGTAAGTTATACGTGTTAGAGTCTGTGAATATAATTAGAAAATATGTACAACTCATAGATTTACCAATTAGCTTATTAACTGCTTCATACTGGTATTTAGTAACATACGATCAAAGAAAAATCATAAGAGTAAGTGTCCAGGTTTTGTGTTATTTTTTCTAAAACTTTAAAATTAATTTTATGCATTATAATTAAAAACTTCATGATGATAAATCCTTTATACCCTCATTGATACTATTAATTCCTATATTAGTGTACATTTTAATATGAGTAAAATATATTTTGAAGCTGTTTCTTGCCTTTATAGAATGCTATGACTGCACACAAGTCCCAATATGTCTGGTTCCGAAAATTGTACATGATATTTTCGCGGTACACTTTCATCAATACCTTCCAAGAAGTCAGTGCACTCGATCTGGAATTGGATCTCCAGTTTGACGACGATTAACTTACGATTCATACAATTTGTACAAATTGTAATTAACTGTACATAATAAAAAGAAAATTTGTCTATTGATAAACAGCAAAGAAGCTTTAGGATTTAAGGAACACTTTTAAACTATTTTCAAAAATCGTATATACGAAATAGAAAGTAAATTTTATTCAATCTTACAGAAATATACAAACGTTTAGAAACGAGAATTGTATCGCATAGTTTAAATAAAAACAACAATAAATCCATTTTTTATTCAGTGTAACCTGCGCAATTATATTCTCTTATATAAACAAGCGTTTTATCGTAAATTTGTGTAAATAAAATATAATTATCAAATTGATATACGTTTACGAAGTGTGCGTAATACAGTATTATTTATACTTATTTGTCCTGAAACAATTTTCCAGTTTTTGAAGTTTATTACATGTTCAAAGAAACTACAAATCATTATTAAGTGAATTGAGCAAGTACAGGTTTACTCCAAGTTAATTTTGAATATAATCATTTTAGAATTTGTTTCTTAACAATAATGTAGAATATGATAATTTTATTTATAACAATGTGATGATTTTTTACTTTATTCAAGTCGAATGAGTTTGGCACAATCAGGTCTTGTGCATATGAAATATAATTTGAAGTAATTTTTTTATTGTTACCTTTATGTAACATATTACTGTTTGATTTTTTTAAGTAATTATGTAACAATAACTGATTGTTAATTTAATACTTTATTTCATGTACTGAGAGAAAATAGAATTAATAAAGACGAATATCTTTAATAGGATTTTTAAATACTATTGCAATAGATAGCAGTTTAAAGAAATGGAAACATAACTAGTTAATTTTTAGTTTTCTTACTGTCCCTTCCAGTACGATTAAAAGATTTGAGTAACAGTAATGTATAATACAAATAGCTTTTTAAATAAAGCTGCCCTCTTTCAGTGCAAAAAATCTCAATATGAATATTAACAATACTTAATATATAGCCTGCATTGTTAAACAGTCTTATGTAATATACAGACATCAGCAATCAAATAGTTACTATACCAAATAACAGTTTAGTGCATAGTAGACATTTGTATATTTGAATATAAATATATTTTTATGTGGAATAAAAATTAAAAAGTATATATATATATATATATATTCTGTGCGCTATATTCTTTGTGCCTCGCGCATATTCACTGTACATTGTTTTTCTAAATGAAACTCTTATTCATTTTTAAACACATACGAATTATGGAATCTTATTATGTATATTAATCTACTCAAGATGTGTTAAAGAAATGGGCATAAATTTAAAAATTAATTAGGCACATATAGCAGAAACATTTATACAATATTTTTCATTATTTTGTTGTACCTTATGCCCATACTTTTTTTAAACATCTTATGGATTTTAACGATAATGGAATTGTTCAACACTAGAATAGATGATATATCTTATTTGTTATTAGTAAATTTAAGACAAAAAAAATAAATGCTTGAGACAGTCATAGAAAATGGACGGCATAAAGTGTTCCCGCAAGATCTTCAATCAGTAAACTACAGTAATACTCGATTAGTAGAATACTGAATTTAGGTACAGAGAGAAGAGCAACACCAAAAGATTTTATATCCTTATAGAGGAGAGATCTTCAGTTTCCTGTAAACAGGAGTGATGAATTTATAAAGGATTCATAGCGAAGATCTCGCGGGCCGTATCCTAGAATCTATCCTTGGCACGATGATGAGAGCTCAAAGTTCCCATACCAGATTGAGGAGAATCCGGATCAACTGGATCCTGCAGGTACTGAAGTTCTTGTAGCTCTTGGAATTTCTCATGATCTCGAATATGTGCATAATTAGCAGACAGACACATTAAGTAATGTATAAGACTTAACACAACTAGCATTGCAGCTACTGTTGCCAAGATAAACATCAGCTCTGCTTTTTCCACAAAATCTTTACAAAATAGTTTCACCTCTTGTGGTCCACACACCTTCATATCTTCTACTCTAGTATTATTGGGAAATATGAAACCTATGTGCAAAAATGATATTTAATATGTTATAATTTTCCTCCAATTAGACATAAAGTTTATAACGTAAAGCATTGTAGAACTTACTGAATTGAGTAAAATCAATACACTGATCAAGGGATTCAACTCTAGGATTGCTGCACAGTCCCCAAAATATAGTGAAAACCCAAGTAATTATAACTAGGAATGCAAATATGAATAGCCAACCTAATTCTAGAATATATGTGATTGTCATAAACTAAAAAATGGAAAATATGCATATTTATTGTTTTGTTAATCTTGAAATTGATACTTATGAGCACAGATACATACAACAGCACATGAAATGCGACCACCAACTCTAGACCTCCATGCTCTATATACTTTGTGCCTTGTAGCTCCAGTTGCGAGGCAACCAACACATAGTATCATAAATCCTAATGCTGCCATACTAGCACCAATTGTGGCAAAAATTAATTGCACAGCTTCCAACCAACCAAGTCGTAAATGAAATACCTTATAATAAACTTAATGATTAAACATATGTATTACATAATATATTTATATCAAAGCAACATTCTATAATACCTGATCCATCATCAGAGAAGCCAATGTACCACCTCTGTACATTGTCCCACAAAAAATACCAACTCCCAAAGAACACATAATAGTTGCAATAAGAGTAGCGTACGGCACTCTGGCCATACAATCATTACATATACTCCCTGTAATAATACATAATGACTTACAATTTATCATAATTCATTATTTTCAATATAAAGTCTATTATAAATTTCCTAATAACTATATTATATTAATTTTTAACTAATAGTCATTTCTTCACATAAACAAACTTACTGAAGGATCTATTCTCATATTCAAGTCCATGAAGACTTTTTTCAGAGAATCTGTCTAAGCTAATATCGCTGTCGAATCTCCTCCGCAATGGTAAACTGTCGTTTATTGTTTGAGAATTTCTCATTTTTAATGACAATTAGCGTCAACTACCTGTTCGATTAAGGCGTGAAGAAATGACTAAAGTGATGAATGAGTAATCTTTCTATATATATTACAGATAAGATTATGAAACGTATCGTACGCTAGCATTATCGATATGTTGCTAGGAAACGGATTACATGATATTCTAGGAAAAGGACTTTTTTTATGCGAAACGTAAAATGATAATACTGTTTATGAATCGTTTGCTTACCCATGTTTCGAGCCTGTTAGTATATAAGGTTAGGTTTGATAGGAATGGGCACTGCCCCTTGTCGATTTCAAGATTATAACACTGGAACTCTCTCAATTACTGTAGCAATTGAATGTCATTCTATTGTATTAGTGAATGACATCCCACATGCTTTTCGTAATTACACGACGACACGTCACACCACTTGTTTATAAATCCCCATGAGTTCAAACAGACTGATAGCACGAATTAATATCTATGAACCATTCGGTAATATTTTTATATGTTCTAAATGTTATATGTTATATGTTCTGTGTAGACATTATTGAAAAATATAATTGAAATACTATTAAACCAATTGTTGATTACAATATTTTAAATTAGATACATTTACCCCTAAAATATTGTTTATTTTTTTCCGTAACCCTTTAAATAAAATCAATATGGCGACAATAGGTAAAAGTGAATGGGAACGTTGTCCTTTCAAAAGATAGCAGGCTATACTACAAACTAACAAATCAAACGTTGCGTTTCCGTTATTAAAGCCGACTATCATTCTATAGAAGAATGGTAATTACTACTGGTGACCCCAATTTGATTACCTTTACCTTTTCGTGGAGGTCACACTTATTCATTACACAGTTATGTGAAATGATGAAGTATATTTATGTTCATTTACTTTTAAGGGTAGAATAATAATAGGTATAATATTTGAATACATTTTCAGTGTGTTATCCATTTTAATAAAAATGATTAATACATAATTAAAAATTATTTAGTAATTTAATCTTTATCTAAAATTCATTTGTTGTATGTTTTGTCAAATATGTAACATTTTTTATTTTAATTTTTTAGAACATTCGTTCTGTATTACAATAATGCTTCACTTTGTATCATGTAGAATGTATCATTCACACGACTATTTTAAAGGATTTCTAAGCTATCCATGATCTAAAAGTTATTTTACATTAATATTTTATGGTTCTAAAGGAATATGTAATTATTTTAACTTATATTCTTTCAATGGAATATTACAATTTAGAAAACTAAGAAGTCTGCATGCCTTTTAACAATGCATTTAAACTTAATATTTTACAATATATTAAAAACTATAAACACAATTGATAGTACCTATATTTAATATGATCGTAAAAAAATGGGTATTTATGAATACATATAAAAATATAATTTATATAACATGGACTCCTTTAAAACCATTAAATTTGTATACTGGATATTG